TGTAGGAAAATGTTTGAATTTTTATAAATTAAGAATCCTTACTTCTCATTCAGCAGCATCCACAATGTAACCATATGGGATTTGGGAGTCTTGTTTAGGGAGAAAACTTTAAGGGACAAGTATTGTTGTGTCACTTGTGTTCGCCTCTTCGTGAGGTTAATCTCTCGATATTTTGTACTCTTTTTTATATAATGGATTGTTCATCTCCCGCCGTAGATGTAGGTCAATTGATCGAACCATGTTAAATGTTTGTGTCTCTTTTGGTATATTTCTCGTTTGTTGTCGGACTTATGTCGTTCAAGGTTTGCTATGGTAGCTTCCGCATGGCACCTGACTTTTTGGATCGTAACACAAACTAGGTACGAAGAGGAAGAAAACGATACTGCAGAGAAGAATGAAGTTTTGTGTCGGATAAAGTAGGGGAATATGAGGATGGTGTGGTGTTTGAATCTGGAGTTGAGTGAAGGAGTGAAGAAAGTGGTCAAAAAAGGCCCATGCCACGCCTCTGATGCTCAATGCACTTGAATCTAGAAGCTGTATATCAATCGATTTGGGACAGACTCCATTGCACAATCTACCAACAACTCCCCATCCTTCATTCTCTCAACTTGTGTTTCTCCTTACATTTTGATACTACATACGTCTAGAAAGAAAGAAATAAGTAGTAGAATTTTCTTCGAGTTACTCTTCCATTTCCTGCTGTTAGCTATTTTCCAAAAATAAGAGCACGGTAGTCACGCCTCCCATCTCATTCTCTGGTCACGTATTCGTCCTATCTGTTCTAGTTCTCGCTCATGGATGCTTCTGTTCCTTACCTTACAATTTTGACTCATTGAGCTCAAAGGAAAAAGAATTTCCTATGCTTGTTAATAATATAGCCATAATAATTACTAGTAACTTAGAAATTATACGTAAAAGATAATTAAGAAAAGCGTGATCAAAAAATAATTTTTTTGATTCCCCAAATAATATACAAGTACTAATGTTTTTTGTGCCACATAACTGGGAAGGTAATTAAGTTGATCAGATTTGGAAGTATCAATATAAATTGGTTAAGAATTCGCAATACTGATTTTAAACTCTTTTGTCCTGTTTGATAGCTAACTTTTGTGTGTGTATAGGTAAAACTGGGAAAAGTGATGAAGGGTCACACTCAACGAGGAGAGTGGTCAAGACTTACTGACAGGCAAAAGCGACTAAACAAGAATGAAAAGAAGGCTGTGGATTGGGGGAGAACTGAGAAGTGCCTATAATAAATGATAAAACCTCATCCACAGGGGCCTTTCTAGTAATCTTGAATATTTTGTGCGTGGGGGGAGGGAGTTTCCTTACTTCAATTAATTTCTAGATAGAAGTGAAAATTTTAACATTACTACTAGGACAAATGAAATTAAAGAAGTAGAGAAAAATCCAAATTCTGGTCAGCAGAAAAAGCTGAGTTAGGCCATGGTCCAGAGCTGAAAGTTTGTATCAGGTTTATCGTATCGCCATGTGCTCTCTGATCTCTTTCCACATGCAAAAAGCACATGTATCTATTTAATTTTAAAACGTCTACTTTATCCTTATACTACTTCATATTGATTTCCTGCAGGAATTTATGTCCTGCAAACTTTTCCGAGTTTGTAAAATGATGAAGTAAGATGGGAATGCGCTCCCCATCAAGAGTCATATGAAGATTGAGCCCGTTTACCCTAAATTACGAGTAACAATTAAATTTATATTGTAACTTTAAGGATATGTAATTCAATTCAATACCAATTGATAAACGAGGAATTAAATAGATAAATTAGAGAATAAAATAAATCAAACCAGTATGCAAGCCAAATCCCGACCTCGAACTGTGGCAGCCTCGAGGTGTGATAATAGGAATAGCAAATGATAAAGCAACTCTGATGAACAGTAAGCGAAATAGCAAGAAAATAATGAACGTATATTTTCTTATTAGTGAACAATGATAGTTACAAATGAATGGGACCCCTCATTAGATAATAGGGGAGTCCTAAATAAGGTATACTTCTAATTATAATAGGAAATCATATTAACAACTAGTTAACCGCCGAAGATCAATCTATTCCGAAATTCACGCCACGATTCTCGACCAATAGCGGGTATTTCGCCTTTTCCGTTATCCAGCCAAGCCGGTGTCACTTGAAGTCTGCCTTCCTCTATCCGCAATCGAGGTCGACCTCGGGATGACTCAACGTGACATTCCTATTTCGACCAAAGACTGAAATAGAGTAGTCCCGATTTCTACCGTATACAGATCCAACTGAATGTAATGTAGATAGTGTCGTGGACAACCCCATTATCCATTTTTCTCTAAGGTGCCATTACGATTTGGGAGAGAGGATTAAAGAAACAAGGATGGTAGCTAGAGAGGATTTACTGCATTCTCAATCCAGTCATGGGGCGCAACTAAAGAGGCATGGGCTGTGTGCTGCTATATATGGGACTCATCATTCGAACCTCTATATATCATTAGTATAGTCGTATTCACCCCCCTTTTAATGGATTTAAGACAAATACATGGACAGTGTATGGAAAATAGTAACAGGGAGAGTTGGTTTCTTGGTGCTTTACAAGTATGCCTTTTGTTTTATGTTTTTATCAGAAGTCTTTATTTTTATACATAAAAGAACCAAAAATAGTATTGTGCATAAGATATCTGATAAGAATCATTTTCTTCTATTCTAATTATAAATAACGGTTAAGGGCCTAAAATATCCCTCTACTACTAAAAATAAGCTATATCTACCCCGTTTCACTTTTATGTTATTAAAGTCCATACCGTTTTACTTTGGTTTTTAAAATGCCCCTCAGCCGTTAGTTTATTAGTAGGATATTAATTAATACACGTGTAAATATCCTGTTGGTCTAAAATAATCCGCCCCATATCTAATTAAAAACTAGCCGACCCAACCCTTTTAACCCGACCCACCCCATCCCCTTTAACTTAAATCCTCCGAGTCTTCCCCCTCTAACCTAAATCGATCTACAGAAATCAGAGAAGAAGCCATTTTAGGGTTCTTCCACACAATAGGTTGGGTGCTCCGTTTTCTCTCACTCTCGCCTTATCTATTATCCGAAAACTTGATATGTCAGAAGGCAGTTGTTCATCGAAGAGGAAGTGTCTTTGTGGAGAAATTGCTAACAATTTTACCTCGGCGACTCCTTTAAATCCTGGGAGAAGATTCTATAAGTGCCCTAAACCGGAAGTAAGTGATTATATATTGGTCTTGTTTGAATTTTTCTTGTGTTTGACTGATTCGTTTCACTGATGTTCATAAGTAATTTTTTTCGTATTATTTTTTAGGGTAGTTCATGTGGTTATTGGGAATGGGCAGAGGATCCTGTCCCGGATAGAGCGCTCGTTGTAATCAACAAGTTGAAGTGTGAGTTGGATGTGGCTAATCTTAAAATCAATAATTAGAAGTCGTTGTTGGATGATGGCAAGATTGAAAAGGACAAATTGAAGGAAAAAGTAGTTGCGATGAAGGCAAGAAATAATCTTCTAGTAAAGAAACAATTGGAGCTGGAAGATAGAATTCTCAAGATGAAGATCTTCATTATGATTTCATGTGCGCTATTTGTAGGATTTATTGCTGCTATTCTAAAAATTGAAGCTGAACTGGGAATGGACAGTGAAATTTCTTTTCTTGTAGATGTGTTGTTTCTCATGAATATTTGCAGCTAAATATCGGATGATGTATTTTAAGCCTTAACTTTTTGTATCTTACTTTTTGTAACTTGTCTAAGCTATATATCGGATGATGTATCTTACTACTTAAATCTATTTGTTCCTACTTTTGATTATGGCTGGTTATAAATCTATTTGCAATGTCATAAAGTTTGGTTTTTTGGACGCTTAAAAAGTGATGCCATAGGGATGAATGCAGCAACCTATATCAATCACTAAATAAAGGCTAAATTTACAGCTGAACATATGCTGAAGACAACCATATGCTTATATTCTGAAGACAACCTAATATTCAATGTATTCAATGACTGAACATATATCTCCCTATATCATAAATGCACATGGCATATTTAATATATCAAACAAATGAGCATATGCTGAAGACAACCTAGTAGACAACAACATGTAAATCACCACCACACAACAGCATGTAAATCACCACACAAGGACTAAATCACCACACAACAACATGTAAATAAAGGCTAAATTTCATAAATGCACATGGCATATTCAGTTTCATAAATGCACATGGCATATTCAGTTTCATAAATGCAAATGGCATAGGTGGATGCAATGTTATAACCTCAAAAATATATACAACCTGGGTTATAATATGGCATCCCATATTAACTTTCACCAACCAAAAATAGTAGATAGTTAGTACTGTCACAAAGCAATAATTACATCCAGAATAGTTTCCATCTAATTATATTAGAGTAGATTTCACTTTTTCCCCTTTCCGGGCTTCAGCTTCTCCATTTTCTATCTACTTTGCATTTCCAGCTGGCTTCCCGTTAATGCAGCTTTTTCCTTCTATCTGAGGCCTGGTGGTTTGAATGGCAGATTTGATGGAACACTAACACCATCATGATCCCCCCTGAAAGTTATTGCCCTTGATCCTGAAGGTTGAGATGGATTCTGCCTTGCTTGAATTCTTGTTCCTACTTCTGACACAGTTGTTGGCCTTAAAGCTGGATCTGGATCATGATCTGGAGAGTCAAAGTCCGAAAACTCACTGCTGGACTGAGTGCTGGACTGAGTGTAAATACTTGGTGTAGGCATAAACACAAAGTTTGAGCCTTCACTTTGTTGATTAGATTGGGTAGGCTGACTGGCTTCAGGTGCAATCAGCTCTATTTCCTCTTCATCAACCAATGTTGTGTTGTTTGTTCTTGCCATCTTTTCCATGCGTGGCTATTGTGTAAACATAAAAAAATAAGTTAAATACTACTAAATAGGACACTAATAAGTTAGAAAAAGTAACCATTACCTTTAAACAACCTCTAGCATTATGATTAGGCTCTCAACAGTTACTGCATGTCATGACTCTCCCTTTCCTAGAAACTCCCCACTCACCTTGCCTTTTGATAGCCTCATCTTTTTCTCTTTTTCTCTTAATTTTAGGTCTCCAAGCCATCTTGACTAACTCAGGTGGTTCCATTGCTTGAGATGGGTCCACTTTCCAGAACTTCTCACCTTTAACTGGTTGCAACTTATATTTATAGGTTAGGAGGTATGCTTCCTTGCTATACCACCAGTTGAATTCCTTGAAAGGGTCCAACTTCTTATGTTGTATGGACTTAATGGCATGGGGGCATGGTATTCCAGTAAGATCCCAAGTCCTACATGTGCATTTCTTCAAAGTCATGTTAACAGTATGCCTGTCCAGCCCTTCTGAAACTTCATAGCCTAGGTCACCAATGGAATGAACATGGCACTTTTTAGCTATCTTCAAATAATCCTTGTACAATTCCAGGCTATGTGGGCTGAGTTCATTTGTCCATGACCGCACTGCTTCCTCTCTTTCCCTTAATTGGTTCATCACCTTAATTCTAATTTCCTCAAGCATTTTGATGATGGGTTTGTGCCTAGCTTCAAGAAACCATGCATTGACAGATTCAGTGAAGTTGTTCTCTACCTTTTGGTTCTTGCACACAGTATCTAAATAAGCTCTACACCAAGCTTGAGGAGGATACTTCATCAATTCTTCTGCAGCTTGTTTATCAAGTTCACCAATGGACCTCAACTGATTCTTGAAATCTTCTTCATAAGAACTCCAGGCACACCACCATAACAACTTCTTGAACTCAGTTGTTCTCCATTTTTTGCACCAATTTGACTCAATGTGCCTAACACAGAATCTATGATGTGAATTAGGAAGCACATTGCTCACAGCCTCAATTAATCCCTGTATAAGACAAAAGTACAAAAGGAAGCTGGATAAATAGAAGCTGATTAAAAAGACAAAAGGAAAAAAAAAACAGAAACTGTTTAGGCATAAATATCATACCTTTTGCATATCTGACATGAAGGTGATGCCTTCACCCTCCTTGAGATCTAGTGACCTTTGAAGCAATTTCAAGAACCAAGTCCATGTCCTTTTTGTTTCTTTATCCACTACTGCCCAAGCTATAGGATATGTTTGGTTATTACTGTCCAGTCCAACAGCAACTAACAACTGTCCTCTAGCTTTTCCTTTTAAAAATTTCCCATCTAAGCCAATAAATGGTCTCAAGCCTAAATTAAAGCCCATCTTGAGAGCTTAAAAGCAAATATACATTCTCAGAAACTTTCTTTTACCTTCAGCAAGTGCATCCTTTGACAAGTTAATGACAATATCACTCCCTGGGTTAGTGTCCCTTAGCTCATTGGCATAAGCCTCAAGTTTCTTATAGTCATATGTAAAACTACCTTCCAACTTCTCCAAAATCAGTCTTTTAGCCCTCTTGCACTTTCCATAGCTAACATTTACATTAAACAATTGTTTCAGATCTGCTCTCATCTCCTTAATCTTGTACTTAGGATTTTCTTGCACCTTCTTCTTGAAGTAATTTGCTATTGTGTGATAGTTAACCCTAGTGTTCTCAAATGCTTCTTCACATCTATGCTCATCTCTTAATGTCTTTATCCTAACTCCAGGAAGGTTCCCATCCCCAGAAATCAGAACAACAAAAGGGCAGTCACCAACACAATGATACCTTAACCTTTTTTTTTTTATCACTTTTATCCACTTTTAAGTCCTTTTTGTTTGCCAAGGAATAGAAATTAATGCATTTTCTAGCTTCAGGTATGTCTCTGAAGCTCATACCCTTGTATAATTCCTTATAATTTTCTAGCCCTGCCTCAATTTCAGTATTTCTTTGCTTAGCAATTTTTTGTAATCCATCAGAATCACAATCAACCTCACTATCAGAATCATCACTATAATTATCACCCTCACTCTCACTATCAGATTCACTACAGTCGGTACCATAATCAGTTATTACTGGATGTGAGTCTGTGTGATGAACAATATTAGGCACATTAATAGACTCTTCATACTCATCAATAGCATAGAATACATAAGAAATTAAACTAAGTAAATGCCTCATCCCATCATCATTTTCTACCTCATAGTAATTACCAGAAGGGCCATTTATAATAAGTTGTTGAACACCTACATGCCCTAACTCACTGGTGTATGTTGTTTCTAGAAGCTTGTAAGAAATAAGTTCAGAATCATACCCTCTCCAGATGTGGACCAATTTCTTTAAATACAAGACCTGGGGTGTTGTGATCCAATCCCCACCATAATGCAACATTATGTCAACCAAAGGCATCCTTAATATTCTGGAAGGGAATTAAAAACATTAAGTAAATTGACAAATATAATTAACAAACAAATTAAATAAACAATAAATAAACCTACACGTGACCTAATGAAAGAACCTAAGGAAAACAACTAACAAATTAGAAGAAGAAGAAGAATAAAAAAGATAGTGACTTGGTGGACCACATACAACATACTCAGCCAGAAACATTAATAATAGTAAAGGGAACAGAAAATAGGGGACAAAAAATATTAACAATAATAAAGGGAACAGAAAATAGGGGACCAGAAACATTAACAATAGTAAAGTCCCACTAACAATAAAATACTTAGATTCTCTGTTACTTTAAGGGAACAACATACACCATATATAGACAAAAGGACAACTTAAATCAGCCAAAAAAAGGCACAAAATCACACTCGGGGCCACCAATAGAAGAAGAATCTCCACAATAATGTCGACCCGTAAAAACCCTAACATAAAATAGCTTACATGCAGACACATAACAACATAGATATTATAACACCCCTGACTTTAGGCAGAGTCCCACATCGGCAAAACATAAGAGGGATGCTGGGTATATAAGTTAACAAGCCTTAGACCCTAGTGACGCGTTTTAAACCCGTGAGGGCCTAGGTCCAGAGCGGACAATATCACTAGCGGGCTGGGCTGTTAAAGATGGTATCAGAGCCACTCTTGTGTCAGCCATGCTGATGGTGGGTCAGAGTTCAACTGAGTTTAGGCAAATCCCGGTTAGGCGGGGCAAACCTCAGTGTTGAGTCTAGGCAAATCCCATACGGTGGGGCAAACCTCAGCGAGGACGCTGAGTCCATAAGAGGGGGTGTATGTAACACCCCTGACTTTACGCAGAGTCCCACATCGACAAAACATAAGAGGGATGCTGGGTATATAAGTTAACAAGCCTTAGACCCTAGTGACGCGTTTTAAACCCGTGAGGGCCTAGGCCCAGAGCGGACAATATCACTAGCGGGCTGGGCTGTTAAAGATATTGTCGATTTGAGCTCATGTCATAAACTGTAAAAGCCTAAAACGATTAAAAATCAAAGAATCAACTAGACCAAAAATATTTTTAAAAAAACCACCAATGTCTTTCTTAAACAAACACAAAATGAAAGATAAACTTACCTTTTAAAGAAGAACAAGCATAAATCGGAAGCATCAATTTATTTCTGAAGGCTATATGACTTAGGGTTTTCGATTTAATTTCTTCTTCTCTGAGTTCTGTAGATCGATTTAGGTCTTAGGGGGGAGACTAAGAGGATTTAAGTTAGAGGGGCTGCGGTGGGTCGGGTTAAAAGGGTTGGGTCGGGCAGGTTTTTAATTAGATATGGGGTGGATTATTTTAGACCAATAGGATATTTACACGTGTATTAATTAATATCCTACTAATAAACTAACGGTTTAGGGGCATTTTAAAAACCAAAGTAAAACGGTAGGGACTTCAATAACACAAAAGTGAAACGGGGGTAGATATAACTTATTTATAATAGTAGAGGGGTATTTTAGGCCCTTAGCCGTATAAATAACCACAAGAGATCATTTTATCCTAATATATTACACGGAATAGTTGTACTGTATTAATTCCTATAAAAGCATAAAGCTAAAGCTGTTTTGCTTAAAAATATTATTCTCTCCAAACATCACCCATTATATTCCATCTATCTTTAATTACCATGACCCATCAAACAGGGGCGAATCTAGCTTTATGTCACGACTTGGATTTTCTACCCTCGGGAGTCGTGATGGCGCCTACTAATGCGAGCTAGGCAAGCCAAACCTTTAATCTAAATACTTCATTAACCAATTATTTCTTTTTAACAATTATAAGGCGATAACGTAATAACAGCATAAATTCAAATTTAAGCGGAAGACATCTATAATATATATGAAAAAAACTGTATCTATTACAAATACTTAAGCCTTAGCCACCCAAAATCTGGTGTCACAGTGTCACAGACAGTCTAAGATTCACTACACACAAAGTCTGAAGAAATAACAGTACACTATTTTGGAAATAAGGAAAATGAAACAGGGAATAGAAGATAGAGAAGACGCCAGGGCCTGCGGACGCCTGCAGGTCTACCTTGGATCTCCGCGCGAACTGAAAATAGCCTCCACACTACTGTCCAAAAGCTGCTCCGGGAACTGCACATAGTGCAGAGAGTAGTATCAGCACAACCGACCCCATGTGCTGGTAAGTGTCTAGCCTAACCTCGGCAAAGTAGTGACGAGGCTAGACCAGACTACCATATAAACCTGTGCAGTTCAAATATATATATACAGTGGAAAAGAAATATAGAAGTTGAGAATTTTGAGAATAAGC